TAAAACGCAAAACGACGGTTTCGGCAAAATCACGAAGTTCACGTATGATAGAAAGAGAAAAGCCATCATGAAAGAAATCTCAGCCCGCAAAGAGTCCAGGTTAATTTTCAAGAGAGCTCCTAATCTGTACAGATTATTAAGGAATGACAAAGACAGCATAGATAAAGAAAAAAGAGCAGGTGTATACAAGATTCCATATGAAAATCGTGAACTAGACATTAATAAAAATTATATTGGTGTCACTAACAGAAATTTAGGAGTCAGATTAAAAGAACACAAGTACAATATCAGTAAGGGATCTAACGCCACAATACTATCGCAAATGGCGCAAGTTGAGGGCTCAATCGTCAAATGGGACGAAGCAAGTATTATTAAACCAGTACATTCACCAACTTTGGCGATTTGCGCAGAAAAGATTGAAATATACAGGAGCAGATTACATGATAAATGCATTAATTCTAGGGATGCTGAAGGGTTGCCTTCCGCCTGGAAATACTTAATCAAGCGAATGGACAGATCTTAATGCCTTGTTTTTAGTGTTTTTTTGCATATCTTGCGGTTTATAGAATTTAGCATAATGTATTATTGTGTTACGTTTTTAATGATTAATTATCCTATGCTTTTTTTCATATACATATTTTATAATAAGAGTTTTTATTTTATTTTATTTTTATTTATACATTTATTTATATATATATATTTCGTTCGTTATTTTGTTTTTTTGTATTTAAAAATTTTTGTTCTATTTTCTTTGTATTCGAAAAAGCTTAGCCTGATGATGGCCAATAGAGTTGGCTGAAAACGTTAGCTTTTCATTAAAAGTTTTCTCAGCAAATTAAGGTGTTGTGTTTTTTTGAGTTTACAAGCAAGTGCTGAGTGAGATGTAATATAGATATTAAAATTACTCTTATATATTAATAATAATTATATCATATTCCATTTCGCATCACAGCAGCTCAAATTTAAAATGGGTCATTGTTTAAGGCCTTGGTTGCCAGTCTCAAACAGTCAGGGCACAGAACCAACCTCCAATAATAGTAGAGAAATAGAGCATTAAAATTAATCATAGATTATTTTCTCTCTGATAAATTTTCATCACTCCTTGAAAAATGTCATTTACAAGAAAAAAGTTCAAACTAATCAAAAACCTGTTTCAACAAAAACTACTACAACAATTACATTAATTAAAAAAAAAAAAAGAAAGAAAGAAAATCAGAAAATCTCTTAAATAAAATCAAACATTTAAAATTGTATACAAATTACTTATTTCATACGTTAATAAACTACATTTATCATTTTATCAAACTTAACAAATTATAGTTGTCAGTTATAAATGATCAAATTTAATTTTATGATTTTGAAACATTTAGAAATAAAAATTATATATACACATATATATATGTATATATATATATATACATATATGTACTGTATGTGAATTGTGAAAACGTAGGTATTCATTACACAAACTTGAAAATTCCTTATTGTAGAGCAAATTTAAATATTGAAAAACTAATTATGTTTATCAATTCCTCTCTCATAAACTATAAATGAAGTTCTAAATGAATTTCAACAGTATTTTAAATAGAGTTTCTTTAAAACAATATTTGGCAATTCTATAAATATAATTTAAATAATATATGGGCAGACCATGCAGAATATCTATTGGCTTTTAATACCAAACTTCATCTGTGTTTTCCGGCAGTGCTTGTGTAAGAAAAATTTACTTATGCCCCAAAAATTCAATATGACATTTTCTCTCCCACTTGTCTTTTGTTTGATTTTGAGTGTGTTATGTTCCAAATACTATAAGTAGAACATCAGAATTTTGTATGGACTTTTGAAAAGTGGGTGGTTTTGATTTTCTTGCTTCTGGTCTCCACCCTGCTCAGAAAATTTGCCATGACAAACTATCAGGCTCTCTCTTCTTCTTCTTCGTTTTTAAAAAAAAAAAGATAAGCTTCAGTCTGCTTTCTTTTTATAACAAATTGCTATATTTCTGTGCAAAACACTATGCATACATATCGCAGCAATGGGATGCAAATAGCCATTCCGATATACTGGTGGATCTGTGAAGTAAACCAAAACATCCGACAAAATTAATCCCACTGTTACATTACTGTAGTTATTTTTTTCTGTATGTTATCTGTAATGCCATATTGCAACTGTAATGTGTGTCACACGACGTGACTACGTATGGTATTACCGTGTATGAGGCAAGCATTTACAAATGGCAATACTATCTGTGAATATTCAAATACTAGAAGGTAATTTTAATTCATTATTTTGTCAAATTTTAAGATCTCAAATATTACACTGTTAAAATATAAATTTGAAAACTGCAAATTTCCCCAATATCATGTTATACATACAGTCATAATAAATCCAGAAGTACCTAAGAGAGAGGGGATAACTTAAAAATGAAAAATACAGCGGAATCTCTATATTCGTAATATTTGATATTTGTCACATTTTGATGGCTTCCCCCATATTCATCAGTATTTTCTGTATTCGATGTCATTCCCAACACCGGCACTACAATCACACGCCCACATGATCAGCTAGCCGTGTTAGCCTAGTGTTGGCAAATTAGCTAACTTTTTGCTAGATTTAGTGGATTTATGAACAATCTAGCTATGCAAATTATCTAAATTATAATGGCCTAGCTATTTTTATAATGCTATCTAGATATAAGAAAAATCAAATAATTTTAATGGAAACAATATAATTTGAATATTTTTATTAAGATGTCTAGCTATAAATTTGAATTTTGAGTTGGCAACACTATGTCAGCTAGCTGTAGTTAATCAGTCTGCCTTGTGCGGTCGTGTGTGTTCTTGGATTCTCGTATTGATTATTTTCAGAAACTCAAGTTGCAATGGCTCCAACAAAGTACACTGAAGAAAAACAGCAAAAAAGGAAAGCTGTTAGAATAATAATAGAGATTAAAAAAAATTAATCAAGGATTTCTACCACACCAGGTCATATACAACAAATATATGTAGTCTTCAACCAATATCCGGCGTGAAAATTCCAAACTAATATTGGCAAACACTTTCGATGCCCCTCCTGGGCTCTTCTTCACGCCAAATTTAATGTACTGGATTCTTAAATCGAATATTTTTAAATAAGAACATGCTCTGTTATTAGAAGTTCAAATAAGGAAGGTAATCAGTGCCTTTCCAAATTATAATTTCTTTATAATTTATATTCGTGGAGACATGTTGTGAGCATCTTATAAAATCTCGCATATTTTTTTAATCACATGCCGTTTCTAAAAATAATTTTAACTAGTGGATATACAATGTGCACATCCCATAATAATCTGGTGTATCGTATAATAAATTACGATTCATCCTCCAATAAATACTGCCACACTGTTGAGAGATTCATTTCTTCTTTAAGATTGATGCAGGTTAGTTTGCGATCTTCTTTGTAAATTTCCATTGCTTCCAAAGTTCTTAGATGTTCATGATGACGAGTGGTGCGGATGACCCGTGCCTCATTAAAAATCGGGGTTATGTCTGGGTTTGTTGCATATGTCGACAATGCTGTCGTATATTTGTTGTGGGTGATGTCTGCTTTATGTTCCTTTATTCTAGTGGCTAACGGATGTTTAGTGGACCCTATGTAAATTAGTTGCCTTTGCCATCTATCGTCCATTAAGGGAATGGTGTATATTCCCGGTAGCCTGTTCGGGTTATGGGCGTCTTTTCCGTTTCTTAATAAATTATATATGGAAGGGTTTCTTCTGTATGTAATTTTAATTCCTTTTTTCTTTGCAATTGAATTATATATCATTATCATTTGTGGGTTGTACGTTACTGGGACCCTTTCCATACGTTCTTTATCAACTGCTCCTGATGTCTTTTCTTCATCTGTTTTACTGTTTATATGAAGGCTATCTATAATCAAAATGGCTATCTATAAATGAAGAAAGTGATTAACAAAACATATTATTCACAAAATGGCATGTGGTAATGAAACTAGTATAATTTAAGACAGTTGGTCAGAGTTTTACTCCATGCACATGCAAGGAACTAGCTCTAATTTTACTCCACTACAATTCATTGTAAATTGCGTAACTTCCTGGTAAGAAAACCATTTTGTGTTTTAGAGTTTATGTTGTAATAGCTGTAACTGCTGAAACTGTTGTACAGAGTTACAACAAAGAAATTCTAAACTCTCCAACTTAAAATTCAGAATGATAAAACAATCACTTAAGATCAAATTGACTAGCAACCACAGAATGCTCAGTAAGAAATCTAACATTGATTAGACATCTACCAGACAACAAATGGGTTGTGGATTGCACATCATAGATCTACTGAGTTAAGTGTGGAAAAACAAGATTAAAGAATACCTTGAAGTTTTATTTTTGTACAATAAATATTTCTCTAATAAATTTTTGTAATAATTTGTATCATATATTGACATCCTAATGTATTGTACATATGTACACACACACACACACACATATATATATCACACATTCAAATCTCTTTGGGAAATCCGTAAAATCCATAGAAATAGCTTATTGCTGGAATTTTACATTTCAAATTTTAAATAACAGGGGGAAATGTTATTTAAAATTCAATTTTTTATATTATTAATTTCATTAACAATATTGAAATACTATTATCTTGTCATTTTACCATAATTTTTACAATGGTAATAACTATTGTCAATTGACATTTTAGCTCTTTTTCAATTAAATCAAATCTCCAAATTGATTATGCTACTGTACTATCCGTGTTTGTGTATTCAGATTGCGGGTAGTTTGAAAAAACCAAACTTCATAGAAATTATGAAGTATTTTTTTGAATGGCAAATCTTTATTTAAATATTGATGCTTAGACATTTGTTGCATGGAGATTTGACAGTACATTTAAACAAAAATATAATAAAAATAACAACTTACGAAGCATCGATTCTCTTTTGCCTTGTTCACATTATCTATTTTCAAATACAATAAAAAAAATTTTTTATTAATTTGGCAAATTATTATTTACTAATCATTTTGTATAAGAGCAGTCCTTGACTTTAGGATGATCAAAGTGTTGCATACAAAAGAGTGATACTCAAACTATCTTTTGTGTGCCAAATTTATCATGCAGTAACACCAAAATAGTTTGTAAAAATTAATTTTTATTGTCTATTTTAACCTATAGTTTTACATTTCGAATATGGTTCATGCAATATAACATATTCACCATACAAAGGTTTTACCCTTGTATGGTGAATATATATTATATAAGCAAATAAGATATAGATGGTGAAAGCTTTGGACCTCTGCTCTGAGGGAACCAGAGAGTTCTTTTTTTTAACAGGTGATCCATGTGTCATCACCTAGTTGTTGGTCTGAACCTGTGACAAGCACAAAAAAAGCTCTCTTGGCATCCTCAGGATGGAAGGAACCAAATATGAAAAAACATCTTAAGATATTTTATAAATTTTTATTTTTCTCTCTACGGAAACAAACTCCCTTTAAAATGTGTAAATTTATTACACAACTTTCAACATTTGTACGTAATTTTAAATGCATATTCCAAAATGCACAGGTCCAAAAGTCAGGAATTGCTCTTGTAATGTTATTACACCAATATAATTATTAATGTATAATTAAAACTGCTATTATATCAATTTTAATTTAAATAAACTATTAATATATGTAAAGTGTTATCTATTGTATTAATTAATATTTCATAATTTAGATATTTGCTGCTTTAAAACAAATGCTTCAATGTATTAAAAATAAAATTGAAACTAAACAGAAATTTATAAAATGTTTCTTTTTATACTACATTACTTTTATTATTATTTAATATTAAAAATATATAAAATAGAAATGCTCATATTGAATTCTGAATAAATCTTATTATGTTTTTCAAATTTTTCAACTTACAATTATAAATATAAAAATTATAGTCAGACATGTTTAATACATCTTTATACAAACATAACAGTATAGTAAAACCTCTTTTTAAGCAAACACCCTTGGAATGATCAAAAAATGCACACTTAATGGTGACATTTACTTTACTTGAGGTGATAGTGAAATTCTATAACAGTCCTAAAATCAAAATTCTAACCCAGAAAAACTATAATAAAAAAACTGCAGTTGTTTTGTTATTCATTTGCCATAAGACATAATGTAGCATTGATTTTCTGTGAAAAGCCTCAATGTTTCTGACATTGCCCAAATCTGAAGTTGCCAAAGTAGCATTTGCTGGAAGAAACAAAGCATTTACTGGAAGGGTGATCTGATGCATCATCCAAAACTGGTAGAATTATTCTATTCTTCCTCATTTTATTATTCACTTTTTCAATTATTCTTGGAACAATGTATGATAGACACATTTTTCTTCCGTGAAACAGTCCAAATAAATGCTGCTGCCAATAATAAGTGGATCTGATTTCTCATCAGTAAAACTTTAAAAAACGCAGCACAATACTCTCTTTTGCAAATTTACTACTTCATGTTAGGCTAGTTTTTTTTTGTAAAAGGCCATATTGGCAAAGCATTATAAAAAAAGAGTACAGTTTCATTAGCATTGAAAATGTCTCTTGCAGCATAACCCTTTATCAGATAGGACAGTTTCATTTTCCAGTTTTCATCTTCAGAAATATTACAAAGATTCTAAAAATCTTCCCCACTTAGAATCTTACATGCAATGTTGTGATGTTATTTAAATTTTTCTAACCAGCCATTAGAAGCTTTAACCTCAGAAATGTCAAGGCAAGCAGCAAAACAAAGTGCTTCTTCTTGTAATATTGGTCTAGAAATAGGAAAGCCTTATTTGTTTTCTTTCAAGTCACACTACAAATACAACAAATTAAGTTCTTCATATTTATAACTGGATAGCCATTTTTGCTTATTAGGATTATGTAATGTTTCATAAATCAAAAGGATATAGAAGTTACTTATCTTGATCTCATATATAGCATGATTTTTTGGGTTAACTCCCCAGTTAGGAAGTTTCAAAACTTCAACTTTTTGTATTAATGCATCTCTGGTAAAAAGAGTGCTAGCCAAAATTCCAAAAGTATACAATACTCAAAACTACAAATGAGCAGACTTGTAACAATGTGTGAAGTGCCCCCTATGCTTCCCGCACCACTTGACTGAAGGATCGACACCGTGTCTGCGATGACTGCATCATCAGGACTGACACCACTGTCTTATGGACAGACACAGAAACCACAATGACCACTAAGTTTGTTTTTTACACAAGTGGTCGCATGTATAAGAGGTCGGATTCAGGATGGAGGAGAGCTGGAGACAGCGCATCTGAAAGGAGTGCATGCTACTCACCACATGCTATAACTCTATCATCAAAATTATTAATCTCTTATTTACACATCAGATTATACATAGGGTTAACTATATAGTAATCAAATAGCATATCAATTAAACCATAATGGATTCCTAACTGAGAGAGAGAGAGAGTTTTACAGTTATGCACACAATGATAAATACCTGTAGTCATTAGACACTCGATAAGCTGGTAGCGCTTGATCCTTGATTATGTAGACAGCCTCTAGGTTCGTCTGGTTGTTAGATAGTTCGATGTAAGATCCTCCAAGGGCAAGTAGGTAGATGGCTTGTTTGGCTAGGTTGTTATTGGCAGCAATGACATTGATAGGGTAGTGGGGGTAATCCAAGACAAGAGCGAACACTTGATGTCAACCAACTCTCGATGACGGATGACCAAACTGTCGTCACTGATCTTTTTTCTTTCAAATGAGGATCATCACCCCTAAATTTCAATGCCCTTTTTTAGACAATGTTGACGAATTAGACCAATAACAATTTTTTGTGTTATGTTCCCCGATACAGTCAGTCAGGAGATGTGTCATCTCTGGACAAGGAAGCAAGTCTGAGGGAAAAGGGGATCACTTCCTGCTCTTGCGAGAGAAGTAATTTTAGCAGAATTTTTTTTTTGTAAATTAAGCAAAAATTTTTCCATTTAACCTGGGTTCTCACAAACTGCCTCTTTGTGCTCTCTGAGCAGTAAGGGGTCTAAAACCACTGACTACTTTATATCTCATTCCAGAAATTCTAGAAAATTCTGCATTCTTGTGCTACTTTTCACTTAATTTTTGTTTCTGGAAGTGAAATCTGTTTCACATATTGTAGCAGAGTTGTAGCCAACAATAAAAAGTCGTCTTTGCGAAAGATGACTGTTAATTCCTGGTGATTGGAAAGGACAGAAGTGAAAATGATTTTATATCTTCTGTATTTTCTATATTTTGTAAATATACCATCTGCCATTTTAAATCAAGGGAAATAAGCTACATGCTTATTGACTAGAGAACAATTAGGGGATATAATTACAACTGTCACTTAAAAAGGGGTACAAGACCAACTACCTGGGATTGATTGGAATGTTCATTCAAATGGCATAACTTATGACAATTTCAAAGGAAATTTTTCTAACTGTTCACCTAACTGAGATGTTTTCTTAGAAAGGTTTTTCGTATTTTCAAGATTTTATCTGAGAGATTCAATTTAACAAAAAAAATTACATAATACATTTTTTGTTACTTTGAGTCAATTTCTAAAAAGTCATTTCATTAATTATGGTTTCAGAATTTTTAAAATATATTTTCTGCCTTATTCCATAATTTGACAAGGATTAATTTATTACACAACAAACATTTTTGGCTAATTTAATTAGCAGCCATCATCATTAAATTAAAAAATGTTTGTTTATATAAAAATTAAATGATTGAAATTAAGTGTTTAGCTTTACAAAGTTCAATTCTCATCTTTAAGATGTTTCAGTACTTAGATTATTTGAGAGAAAAAACATTTTTTGAGGAACTGCAACATGAAAGTCTAATGCAGGATGTAGGGGAAAAAATGACTATTATCGAAATGAGCATTTTCATCATTTTATATATAAATTTACATCAATTATACATGTAAGAATTATTTTTACTCATTTTCTTTATTTAGTAATTCACTTTTATATTTATTTCATTCTAGTTATGTCTGTTGGAGGTGAAACCCAATCTTATTGCTATCTTTAGTTTTGGCACATTTTACTTAGTTGGGTGAAAATTTTAGAAGTCTAAATTACTTCACTAGATACCTATTTGGAAATGGACACAATTTATATATATTGAGAGAATTTTCGCATAACACTTGCAGTTTTGTTTTCTCTGATCAGGGCCAGTGTTATGGGCACATTTTCATAAATTTATACAAAATTTTCAGGCATATTTTTTTATTTTTATTATATGGCACAAATTGAATATTGTTTCAAAATAAAATTTTTAAAATTTTATGTAGGGAGATAATGGACATCTAATGCATGTCTTGCCCCAGGCAACAAACTCTAGTACCATCTCTCTCTGATCAAAGTTTCTTGATAGAAGAACTAAATTCAAATAATTTATAGAAAATGTTAAAACTAATTACTTATTATCATTAGCATCATAAAATGTCAAAAACTTTTGTACATGCAAGAAAACATAAATGACCTTGGATGACTATTGTGATGTCACTCTCAACTATAAATGGACAAAGAAAAGCAAAAAAACGGATGAAAAGGCAAGATAGAGTTATCTAATCAAAGATTAATTTGCAATTGTGATTTCAGAAAAGGGAATTCTCATAAAGCTATTTTTGTTTATTATCAGTTTATGGAAGTTTAGTCCATAAGTTTGAATTAAGAATAGTTTCTTTTATGTTAACTTAAAATTAAATATCAATTTTGTTTTTGTGATAGTTTTTCCTTTCCTTTTGCATGAATAGACATTTTTGGTTAATTGTAATTGCTTTATTAATAAATTTTGAATGTCTCTAACCCATTTGCTAAGGTTTTCTTTATTGTCAAATTTTAATGGCTGTGGATTAGTTTCTGTTATATGAATGGAAAAATCTAAGTAATGGGCATTCCCAAAAATTAGAAAGTCCAAATCTAACATTTTAGTGATCTCAGATTGTAAGGTCACATACTACTGGGTTGCATCTAATTCTTATTTAGAATTGAATTTTTCTTTTTTTTCTGGGATCTTGCAAGTCTTAGCAACCATCATAAAAATTAGAGAATTTGGGCTTTCATTATATGTCATTAATTGCAATCTTACATTAACCTACCCAATCATCATATTAGACACTGAAATGATTTTTTTAAAGCTAATTTTTGGAATATTTCTGTCTTAAATATCAATAATATACTTTTAGAGTAATTTTTATAAACTTGGTCAGTTATAATTACAAATTTTTAAAAATTCCTAAAGCAAAAATTTTTCTAGTGAAGAATAAACTGAAAATTGCTCATAAAATCCTAATTAAATTAAATATAAATAAAAATAAGAATATCATAATTTTTACAATGTTAAATAAAATATTTTACTATATAAATAATTAAAAATTAAATTAAATTAACTAACTCTGATCAGTAGATCTCTTTGATATTTTAAGAGTAACACTATCGTCTGAATTTTGCAGCAGAGTGATTGCTTCGCTGAGTGGCTTTCCGCATAGACTCTGTCCATTAATTGCTAATAATCGATCTCCAATGTGGATGGCTCCAGTCCTTTAAATTAAATATAATAAAAGTAACAAATTATTCAAATTTACAAATAATTTGTTCTGTGATTTTACAATGTTTTTACATCTGCAAAACAAAATTCAAAAATTATATGCAAATTATAAAATTGTGATGATAGCTATTTTAAATTAGTGTGAAAATCTGAATTCCAAATCATAATAATGTCATGAAGATAGTTTTAATGAATAAAATGTGCATAAACAAAATTCATTATAACAAAATTTCCAGTCCAAATTAGAAATATACTATTTTGCAATTAATTTCAGATCTATCCAAAATTAAATTTAAAAATTTTAAATTTTTCAGAAAATGCAGATCTACTATTTATAATCAATATTCAATTTCATGGCACTAACTTAAATACAGGGTGTTAAAAAAATTAGACTGACAAAATGAAATGGCTGATAGAGAAACTTGATAACCCACTTTTAATTACATGTCAAATTTTAAGTGCAATTTACAATTAAGTGGTAGTCAGACAAAATACTTTGTCTGGACCATGCTATATGAGCAGTTGCTATTTCCTTTCATCATCAAACTATATATCAAAGAATTTTCACAGTGGTATTTTGAATAATGTGAATTAACAACATTCTCTGTATAGCTTTAATAAACGTTTACCAGTAATGTCAAACTTCACTGTGTGGTATTTATACTGTACATTATAGGGCAGCAAATCACTACCAAAAATGTACTAGACAAATCTTGAAAGATGGGTTGTGGCAACCTCCAGTTCTTAGGACCAAAACTGTTTCAATTAACTTCCCTCTATGATCTATTCCATTTTATTGGTCTAATTTCTTAACATTCTGTAAACAGAATACATTAAAGCTAAATTATTTCAGTTTGTTAAGACAGCTGTGTACAAATTACATTTATATTTTATGCATCATTTTAAAGCTTATTTAATGTTGATTAGCTGTATTGGAGCTATTTTACTGTTTAATTTTATTTAAAATAATTAGAAGTAAAAATATGCCCAATTTTAACCTTGCCATATTGTCACTCCTTCCATCTATCATTCCAGCTATCACACTTAGTCTGGTATAAAAATGCTTCCAAAAATAACTTCAAGTTGACAATCTATCATTGATTTTTCATTACTTTTTAATTTTTAGTTAACAGAAATATTATTATAAATTAAATTTTGTCAGGAAAATAGATATCATTTCTTTCGAATAAAAATGATATCTAAACAAAGAACTCTTATAAATAGGTGAAAAAAAAATGCAAAAGTATGTTCAATTAAATTTTGCTGAATTAATTTGCATGCAAACCTTGAAATTATTTAAACAAAAAATGTATATTGAGATATTTTATAAGTCATATTTAATATAATAAATTTATTTGCCTTATTTTCCCCATTTATTTATAATTTAACAATTTTTTGCAGCAAATATTTTGTTGGGTGCAACTAGTTTCTAGATTGTTTAAATACTCATCCAGATAAAATAAGTCATTGTTATCAGATTTCTGGTTTCTCAAAAAATACATATTTCTGCTAAGAATAGGTGAATTATTTGTTCTTTTACCTCTGTTTACAAGCATACCTTCTTCCCAAAAACCTCTAAAACAAAGATTTGTAATTTAGAGATGAAGTTTATTAAACTGTACAATCATGAAAGAATAAATAGCACTCCTAAAAACCTATATACCATCAGATTGGAGTGTAAAAATTTCATTCTTGACACATAGACACTTATATTCTTGTTCTCATAAATACTAGTCAGCATTCATTGGTGTCAAATATTTTGCCTTGTGAATTGGAAAGAAATGCAAAACAAAGCAGTTCACTATATTGAATTCTTGTAAAATGGATATCATATTGTACAAGTATATCTAACATATTAAAAATACAGAATATTTTGTCTCAAATATTTGATGTTTAGCAAGAATAAATAAGTCAAAATAACAAAAATAAAAAATATATAAATATTTCAGTAATTGCATTAACTTAAAAATAATTATTATTATAACTATAATAATAACTCTCCCATGGTCACCACCTGGTCGTGGTGGGAGAGTCCAGTAATTTTACTGAACCATAGAGCAATGCAGGCTGGAGCACAACTCCTGGTAGGGACACCCATGCCAGTAAGGTCTATGGGGAGAAATGAAGCTAAGAGTGAACACACCCACATTCTGTAAAGGTAATTATCATGGTAGTAACCAGATCAAAGTGTGATACCAGCTCGGACGTCGCCCGGATTAACAAGGTCTGCATTCGTGGGTTAGGCAGAGGCTGACGTTCGAAAAATAGGCCGCAGTCTCCCTTGGTTACCAGTGGCGAAAGCAGCGCCGGCCCAAGCATGGCTACTGCAATGCCCTCAACAGATGTGAGGAATCAACCTAGCCTTGGTGTTTCTGTGGCAATGCATCCACAGA